ATGTTTTAAGTGTTCAATGATTATAATTCCCATAATCTTTCTTTTTGCCACAAAATACCCCAATTCTATCTCATGACGAATAGTGTTTATTGAATATCTTCTTAGAGTCAGGTGGCTTCACACAGGTTAACTCATTCAGTTCTCAGAACCAAGCTGTACGTTTTGTTTGGCATGGTTGGTTGTCACTGTCTTAACAGATGAGGGGGCCCAGGCTCAGAGTGTTCCGAAATTTGCTCAAGGTCATTGGAGAGACCCTCACGAGGACTCCAGTGGGCTCTGCCTGGCTCTGCAAGGACCTTGCTTTTTCTTTTGCATGAGTCACCAAGAACTCCTGGAGTTGCTGAGTGGAAGTGGAGGCATCAAGATCCCGGGGGACCTTGGAGGACATTGGGTCCCAAGCTGAAGTATCTGTGGAAGGAGAAGGCCACTAGGCATTCTCCTGGTGGCCCTACGAACACTGAGCTGTCTTCCTGCTTACAGTGGGGAGAGGCAAGCAAAGCAGCCGATTTTCCTTGGAAATGTCTACATTTCTGACAAAATCTGCCCTGGGGGTGTTGTCTATCCTTGCTACAAGGCAATGGGAAGACAGTGGGAGTCAGCATCTTATTGGAATGAATACAGGATTCGAAGATAGTCAGACATGGATTCAAATCCCAGTTCCAGGCCTCAAGCTGGGTGGCCTGGGTGAGGTACTTCTGACTGGTCCTCAGTTTGCTTGTCTGCAGACAAGGATGATCATACTCACCCAGCCTCCAGTGACTCCAGAGAGCAGTCACTAGAGCCAGCCAGTCAACGCATGGGGCACAATTCAGAGTCAGGGCGATTTGGTGTTTGTAGTTGTTGAAATGAGCGAGGGGGTATTCGGATGATTCACTGCCCAAGGGAGGAAAACCGACCTACCACCTGCCCAACAGAGGAGAGCAGCCAGCTCTGGGCCACCACCTGGCAGTCCTTGGAGCCCCCTGGGATTGAGTACTTCCCCTCCCCACCCCCTTCCCCCCCATCATTTGTGTGTGGTCTATACCACATACATTATTCATGGATCATAAAGTCCTCCAAGCCAGCCCCATCTGACCCCTTTGATGACATCCCCACAGCTGCCACCCAGTGTCACACACAGAGAACACACTAGATCCCTGCTTCTTGACTGACTGAATCAGTGTTGGGGTACCTGCTTTGGTCCCTGCTTGTTGGCCTTTACAGAGCCTCCACCTACTAATACTTGTCCCCACACATGGAATCCATCCCTTACCCAGGCCTTTTCAAACAGGAAACTTCCCCTGTGGCCCACTAGCCATTGTTTCCTTTCAGGCCTTCATCACTTCCCATGTGGCCGAGGTTATGGACTTCAAAGCAAGGCTACAGAATGTGAGCTCCAGGCTGCTTTTTTCACGGCTTCTGCCAGTCCTGTTGCTCTGCATCCATCCCTGAAAAGCTTCGGCTGGAACCAGAGGCCAATAGGCCGAAGTCCCTGTTGCCTGGCCCTTCTCAGCATCCAAACCAGCAAACCGAGGGCTTCCCCGGGGCTGAGTGATCTCCTCTGGGCAGTGGGCCAGAGCCCAGCAAAGCGCTGCTTCTTTAGCTGCTGAGGCTGCTTGAGGCCTGGGCTGCATCCCAGAGAATGAGGGCCCAGCTGTGCGGCTGGGGATCTCAGGGGCTCAGGGCTGCACGGAACTTAGGGGCCACCAAGTTCAACCCTTCTGTTGTTCAAAGCAGCCCGAAGAGGCACGGCAACCAGAATAGGGTCACACTGCAATGTAGGGGCAGAAGTGTGCTGGGCCACAGCCCTGTTCCCCAGCCCTGGGCTATTTCCTCCCCAAAGGTCCCAGTGCCTGGACTAGAAGAGTCCAAAGCCTGGCTCCACCCCTTTCCTTTTGGGTCCTCTGCTATTTGGCTTTTTCAGGGAAAAAGAAGGCTATCTAGTTTGTTGTTTCCAATTTCAGACTAAGAGGTAATGGAAAGAATAGTATCTATAAGGAAAAAAACTATTATTGTCCCATCTGATGGATGAGGAAGCAGAGGCTCCCAGATAGGAAGTATCTTGCCCAAGGTCTCACAGCTAGTGCTGGGTTCCAACTCAGGCAGCTGGCTTTACGACATTATGCTGCTCAATCACCCTCAACCTCAGATGCACTGGCTGCTCCTTGGAGCCCCAGAGGCCAGGCTCCTCAGTTTGGGCAGCTCACTGTAGGGGTCCAGTCACTTTCTCCAAATAGTCATGAAGATTCTAGAGGCAACTGAAAAGGGCAGGAACTTTCCTTTCTCTAGTCCCACTGTTCTCTGAGCCTCAGTTTTTATGTGTTTTTGGTTTGTTTGTTTTTAGTCAGTAAAACTGGGGGCTCAAATTAGTTCTCCAAGATTCCTTACTTATTAACAGCCAACAAGCATGGAGTACTGTGCTGAGCCCTCATACAGAAGCATCAGTGCCCACCATCCCTCTCCTGGAGAGGAGGGGGCAGCGCATTCCCAGCTTCAAGGGCTTGGATGAGTGGAGAAAACACACAGTCTGGAAGAATATGTACGCGGGTCTTTGACTTCGGGTCCAAGGGGCCCTTCTAACCATTATAGGATCCATGGGAGGAACTAGAGTTTCGGAAGTGGCTTCTTTCCCATTCCATCCTCCAGGTCCCCTCTCATTCCATGTGTGTTCCACCTGCCTGATTTCTCAGCCCTCAAAGACCTCAAGGGACCATGGTTTGAGGGTGGAGAGACCTGTTTTCCCCAGGTCCTTGCACCTCTCTGCAGCGGGGTGCCGTGGGATGGAGAGGGGTATGGGGAGGGCCTCTCCACACCTTCCAGGGCAGTGTCCCTGCAGGATGAGTTCACAGTGCCCAGACTAACAGTACAGTGGGCATCCCCTCCTCACTGCCAGGTGCAAAAGGCCTCTCTTCCACTGCTGTGCCCAGATGTGCCCCAGGTTGGAAGAGGTGACGAGGGCAGTCCTCTGGCTCCTGTCATTCCCCCACTTCATCTTTATAACAGCACCACCAGAAATTCTGGAGAAAAGGAAACTGAAGGCTGAAAATGACTCACACAAGGTCTTATAAGGTACAGGTGGCAAAACCAGGACACAAAAGCAAATCTGACTCCAAACCTGCCACCTATCCACTGAGTGACCAGTTTTAGCATCCGCTGGCTCGTGGTCAGCCAGTGAGCCCTTCCCCCACCCCAATGGAGCTTTCAACCAGACCCTAGAGCCTCAAACTCCTTAGTGAGGTCACAGGTTCTCTCTGAAGCAAACCGCCGCACCCAGCCCTGACCTGGCAGGCCTTCTTCTCTAATACACGTCCTGGGATGTGTCCAGTTGCATGACATGTTTTGCTGGGACTAGTTCCCTCTAGTCTTCCCCCAGTCCCAGCCGTCCCAGATTATCAATCTCATCCATCCTTCTGCAAGCGGGGGGTTATGTCTGCTAGTACAGGGGGCTGAGGGCTCCTACGGCCCTGTCAGGTGGCATCTGGGATCTCACAGCCCTTGCTGGGAGGCCCAAGGTGCCCACCCCCCTCGCAATGTTTGCCGCTTGGACCGAGTGACCCAGTTTCCCCAGCGGGGAAGCTCAGCTGGCGGGCTGCGCAGTTTGACATCTGTGTGTCTCTCCTGCCCCCTGTCGGTCACTGTGCAGGAGGCTCTCAAATGTCTGCGATCCCACTTGGGGCCTCGGTGCATTGACTCTCAGGCCTGCAAATGTTTGCTGAATTAACTGAGTGAGTGAGTGGATTGTTTACAGTTCTAGGCTCTGGGGTCCAAATTGGCCGAATAAACAGGGACTGCCCTTGACAAAACAGTGAACTCACTGGAGCTGAGCCTGGGCTCCTGCTAGCTGCTAGCTACCCCCTTGGCTGTCCTTTTCTCCCTTCCTGCCTGCCCCTCCTGTTCCCTCCCTCACTAGCCTGCTGCATTCCTCGGAAGAACTAGAATGTCCCAGGCTCAGGTCAACTGGTTTCCCCCCTCCTACCTCTTACAATCTCCTCTACCACATCCCCTTTGAGTGGTCCCAGTTCTCTGCTTGAATGCCTACAATGACAGCACACTCGCTATCAGAGTAGCCTTCCCCATTTCTGAGAGCTATAATCAAAAGAATTGTCTTCCTTTCTTCCAGACACTAAACCTGACCCCTGTTACTTCCACTCAGAGACTCAGTTCTTGCCTCTTGGGCGAGTCACTCAGAAGTCTGACCTGCCCACTCTGTGACAGCCTTTCAGCTCCTTGAAGGTGGCAGTCACATCCCTCAGACTTCTCCTTTCTCGCCCCAAACATGCTGGGCTCTTCACTTCCTGAGGCTTCCTTAAAAGGGGGAGTCTTGAAAACCAAAAAGCCTGGGAGACACAGACAGTGACTCTCCAATGGTGGAATTCTAGTCTTTTGGTCTGAAGACCTCCTGAAAGGCACCTATCTGCTTACTCCTAGGAGAAGCCCTAAATAACAAGTGGGATAATTCTTTAATCACTATTTCACAGTGTTTTAGATTTAGAATTTACAAAGCTCTTTTACAAAGAGCTCTTTTACAACTTACAAAGCTCTTTTACATGCTATCTCAGTTGAGTGAAATTATTTTCACACCCATTTTAGGGATGATAAAAGTGAGGACTCAGAGAGGAAAAAACCTTGTACATGATCACACAGTAAGTGGATGATAGCTGGCACTCACATCTGATCTTCTGATTCCAAGTCTAACATTCTTCCTACAAAAGTGTTTGTTGTGGCTTCTGCCTCCGGAGAATGTGAAAAGATCAAAAAAGGCAGAGAAAAAGTATTGAGCACTTACTATTTTCCAGGCACTGTTCTAAGTGCTTAATATGTGTTAATGTTCAAAATAACCACATAAGTTGTGTACTATTATTATTGTTCCCATTTTACTTACCAGGGTTAGTAAGAAAAAGTCCAGTATTCTAACCCATATAGCCCAGCTGTAGAGTTGGCCCTTCTAACCACATCCCACACCGCTCCACACTTGCCTGGGTTTGTGCTCACATCTGTTTCTCTCCTTGCCTCTCTTTTACCTGACGGGTGATACTGAGGAGAAAGTTCGAGAATCGTCCTCCGGGGGCAGGGTGGGGAGACCTTCCTTCAGAGGCAGTGTGGTAGTCGGGAACCCAGAGGCTGGTTCAGACTCAGGCTCTGCTCTTTCCAGCTGAGTGACCTTGGGCAAGTCAGTCAACCTCTCTTCCCCTCGGTTTCATCTGTAAAATGACAGTAGCACTAGCACCCACCCTGTTGGGTTTCTGTGGGTTGTAAGTTAACATTTTTGTAAAGCGCTTAGAGCAGTGCATGTTTATTATTAAATTGGAAACTCTGGCCATTTGAGCTGACTGGGGCAAAGCCTGGAGGGTGGGGCAAAGTCTGGAGGGTGGGTCAAAGCAGGGGGCATCCTGTGGAGGCACAGGGAGAATGGGCAGGGGGTGGGGCGGGGGGAAGGATGGAGGATGTGAATGACTTTCAGCGGGAACTGACCTTTTCATGGAGTCACGAGTTCTCTGAATTAAGAGGATCTTTCCGAGGCATCTAACCCAACCGGGCAGTAGAGCAGTAGAGCAGGCAGGAGTCTCAGCCAAAGGCCTGGGAAGACCAGGAATTCCCCGGTTCCTGAGACCACAGGACAACTGCAATAAAATAAATGACACTTGGGAGGCTGGGGTTGGGAGAGGTTCCCTTTGGCCTCTTAGGGAGTCTTGACAGCAGGGATATTGAGTCCAGATGCCTTTACACCTGGCCTCAATTTGGCTTCATATCCTGTGAATTCTTAGGCATGATCCAAACCTGCTGTAGAACTGTATGAGCTCTAGGCTGCTAGCTACACTGATAATAAGAGCCAACATTTATGGATTCCCATGCACTGGGCCCAATTCTGAACACTTGCTTGTTAACTCTTTTAATTTTTACATCATTGCTTTGACACTGCTTAGCCCCACTTTACCTAGGAGGAAATGGACACATTATAATATTTGACCATCACCGTGCAGTGAGTAGTGATCAGAGAATGAGAACCAGATCCTTTGACTCCAGAACCAGTACTCTCAGCACAAGGGAAAGCCACTCATTTCAGAAATAATTGAAATTGTGTATTGAAAAATTCTTTATTTTGTCTGAAAATTGAACTGGGTCTTTTCTCTTTCAGTTTGTGGCAGCATTTTCTCAGAACCAAATGGTGACATGGATAGCATCCCTTGCTCCTCCAGCAGTATCTGGGTGCTTGTTTCATGCCAGGCATTGCACCAGGCCCTGGGGAGGCTACACAGACTCAACCACTGCCCCGTGGAGTTTACAGTCTGGTGAGGCAGAGACACTGGACAGGTAGTTGTGGCAGCATATAATCCCACACCGTGAAGAGTGCTCTGAAGGAAAAGTCCAGGATGCTCTGAGAGTACGTGATGGGCATAGGTACTGTCCTAGACTGGTGGGGGAAAGGGCACATGGCAGGAACACTTTTGTCTGTACGTGTGTAAATGAAAGCTTTTCATATGCAAGAACATCTTTTTCTAAGATTATTTCTGAGTGAGTATAAACAATGGACATGGACTCAAATTTCACTCAGAGAAAAGAGATTCAGTACTTACTTCCCACCTCTTAAAGAGGCTCAGAGTTCTAGACACAAGAAGGCTTCTTAGGCTGCATAGTCCCTTCGTGGGTAAAGAGGGTGAAAACTGCTTCTCTGGTGTCCAGTGAGCTGGCATAAGAGTATCTTCACGATCCCAGGACCTTATAGTGCCCTGGTTCTCCTTTAGAAAATGACAATTCATACACATTTATGGTGTGTTCCAGCTTTTAGTAGCAGAGTGATCTTGTTAGGAGCCTTGGCTTTGGTGTCAGATTGACATGGGATAAGTTAGTTCATTTCTATTGGCCTCAGTTTCCACTCTATAAAACAGATCAATAATAGCATCTACTTACAGGGTTAATGTGAGGAGTAAATGAGATAACACCTAAGAAACGCTTTAGAATCTTGCTGGATACATGACAAATGTTCAACCAGTGTGAACTAGTATTAGCCTAAGGCTTACTAGCAAGGTTAGGATATTGGGATGAATCTGCATTTATCTCAAGACATAAGACAGAATTGAATTTATTTTTAAATAAACACATTGCCTAAGTTGTCTCCATACCTTTGTCTCTTCTTCCTTTCCTATTTACCTTTCTATTTACATTATCTAATTCTATAGACTTTCAGAGAGAAAGGTCACAAGATATAAACTTGCTTGGAGTTTCTTATGTGAAAAAAGAAGGAAAGTCAATATGGAAATTCTCTCCAGCATTCCCTGGTTATTTATAAAATCTACCCAGAGCAGGAAACAAAACTCTAAATATAAAAACCACGTGAAAACTTCCATTTAGGGAGCTCCAAAGTGCTTTATTTTTAATTTATTGTTATGACTGTGGAGGCTATTGTTAAATTTCAGACACTGTGGGGTGGTAGGAAAATCCCAAGTGAATTTTGCCCACAACCTTTCTGGGGTCCAAGGGAGGAGAGGTTGCTGTGAGTGGCCTTCAGAGCCCAAGCACACACAAAGGTGCCTGAGTGGTGGCTTCTGGCGGTGCACTTTGGGGATGACTTTCCCTCTGCCCAAAGCAGTAATGACACTGCAAACAGAAAGATGCTCCTCTGGGGGATTCCTGCCTAGGTGTGCCCTGGGTGTAAGAAAGCTATATCCGGGTTTCTGATGCTGTGAGGGCAGGAAAACAGCTCTTGTTCCCATGGGCTTCCAGAGAATGCACCAACATTTATCTCCCTCCCTCGACAATGGCTAGAATGCTGTCTCTCCAGGCAAAAATAATTGCTCACCATAATTACACTTGGCATTTGGGTAACACTTTATGGCCACTAATTAGTTAAATGTACACAGCACCCTGTGAGACCAAAGGATCCCTGGCTCTGCTTTGTGGGGGGGAACAAAGGGACGGGGAGTAACCTCAGGCTGTGGCTCAAGTCAGACTGGGCTTGTGCCCAGCGCCTGCTCCCGCCCCAGACCCAGCACAGCAAGCTCTGCACAGCTGGCAAGGGTTTTAGCTTTCTTCTTCCCCAGAGGGACAAGGAAGTGGTGGTTTCCTAAACCATTCATTCTGCTTTGGTAATGGATATTGGAAACGGTACTCTCTGAGCAATCTCTACAGTAACCAGAGGCTCTGTTTAACCGCTCGCCAAGCATCTCTTGAGGTCCAGCTGTAAGTATGTGGGGACTCATCTCTGTGCTGACGTCCTGGGAAAAAGGCACGCCTCCATTCCTCCCCCAAAGAGTGCATAACCTAGCTTGGGTGGAGTGAGGCAAAATAACGTACAGGAAATAATTAGAGTGTAAGCCAAAATGGAGAGAGTGATATGGAATGGAGTTTGCTGAAGGTTAAAAGAAAGAAGGACTTGAAGGTGAGCCTGGGAGCACCAAGGAGAAGGTGAGCCTTGGGTGGTGTGATTGAAGAGACAAGGGTACCAGTGAATGTGGAGAATGTGGAGGACTCTGTTGTCCCCGCTCCTGGGAATGCTGTGAGCAGACACCTGCAGCTGTCAGCCATTTCAGGGCTTTTCTCAACTGCAGAGAGCTGCCTTACCCCCAAGGTCACGATCCTTTCCACAGTGGTCTGATGACTAAACAATGCAGAAATACAAAGGCCCAGGCATCTCAGCTCATCCTGGGACAACTCTGAAGGCCACAAATTAGTGAGACCTTCTAACTCCAGAGCCCCTCATGGGGTCAGCTGAGGCTGGCGTTGGGTCTGATTGCAGGTCCACTTTTCCTTCCTCCCAATCCTAGTTCTTTTCCTTTCCTTCCACAGGTGTCAATCTCAAAGTCACTACTTAAGAAACACCCTGCATGCTAAACTCTTTCTAGGGAACCCACTATCAGAAAGTTAGGTAAATGGATTTCCATTAGGGACCACTCCAGAATGTTGAGCAGGAAAGTCGGATGTGGGCTTTGGTAAAGACTAACCAGGCTAGAGCATGTAAAATGGGTAAGAGCAAGGGAGAGGGTGGAGGTGAGAAGACCAGCTCAGGGCCAGCTGGACCAAAGGGAATGCAGGCAATGAAGAGAATACAAGAAATCCATATGAAGAAGGAAGAAAAGACAGGATTTGGTAGCAGGTTATTTTTCAGAGAAAGAAAGGTCAGAGATAAAAGGGTTAGTCTATGTTGTTTCTTTAAGTTATCACATTACCAAAATAATAAGATTACGGGATGGAGGACTGTTGTCCTAAATTCTGTTTTAGACTTGAGTTTGAGGTGACAATGAGACTTCCCAGTGAGATATCTTGTGGGCAATTGTGTATCTAAAACAGGAGAGTGGATAAGAGGTCAGGATTGGAAAGCTTGATTTGGGAGCTATGTCCGTCTATATCTTTCAAAGACGGTCATGACAATATCTCCCATTGCACATGCTCTTCTACATTGTGACCTGGCTACTGGCCCCATTGAGAAGTGGAGTCTAATTTCCTTGCCCTTGAACCTGGGCAGGCTTGTGAAAACTTTGATTAATAGAGCACAGTGGAAGTTCTGCTGTGTGACTTTTGGGCCTAGGTCAGAAAAGGCCATGCAAAAAAACTAAATATAAAATTACCATATGACCCAGCAATCCCACACCTGGGCATATACCCAGAGAAAACCATAATTCAAAAAGACACATGCACCCCAATGTCCATTGCAGCACTGTTTACAATAGCCAGGTCATGGAAGTATCCTAAATGCCCATTGACAGATGAATGGATAAAGAAGATGTGGTACATATATACAATGGAATATTACTCAGCCATAAAAAGGAATGAAACTGGGTCATTTGTAGAGATGTGGGTGGACCTAGAGACTGTCATACAGAGTGACATAAGTCAGAAAGAGAAAAACAAATATCGTAGATTAACGCTTATATGTGGAATCTAGAAAACTGGTAAAGATGAACCAGTTTGCAAGGCAGAAATAGAGACACAGATGTAGAGAACAAACGTATGGACACCAAGGGGGGAAAGTGGGGTTGGGGGTGGTGGTGGTGGGATGAAGTGGGAGATTGGGATTGACATATATACACTAATATGTGTAAGATAGATAACTAATAAGAACCTGCTGTATTAAATAAATAAATAAATACATAAGAAAAGGCCATGCAGTTTCTGCCTGGTTGTCTTGGAATGGAAGCCGGATGCCACGTAAGAAGTCTGCCTACCCTCAGACTACTCTGCCAGAGAGGCCGTGTGTAGCAGATTACAACCAATGTCAGCTGCCAACCAAGTGAATGACTCACCTTGGATATCCAGCCCAGATGAAATGACTAAAGCCCCAGCCAACATCTGACCGCAACAACATGGGAGACCTGAAGTTTGAACCACCCAATGGAGCCCTTCTCAAATTCCTGATCCATGATTGTTTTTAGCTGCTAAGCACTGGGGTAATCTGTTACATAGCAATAGTAATCGGAACAGGGGTCATTAGCATAGGGGAGAGTAGGACCTCATCATTGTGTTCTGCATAATAAGCTCCCGTCCTCTAATCTGTTCCATGACACTGCATCCTGCCTCACCTTCCCTGCCCTACCACCACTCACCTTCCACGGAACTGCCAGGGTTCTTTCTTAAGTGGTTCCCAAGTAATCTTATCAAATCGCTTCCCTTCTTGAAAACCTTCCACAGTTCCAAATGGCCTGCAAAGGTCCTCAAATTTCAGTATGTACTATAAAGTGGTACGGTGGTCAACTGTAATGACCATGGGGTGCCCAGACATTTGGTCAAATGTATTCGGGATGTGTCTGTGAGGGTGTTTCTCGATGAGATTAACATTTGAATTGGAAGACTGAATAAAGCCGATTGCCCCCCAGTGTGGGCTGGCCTTATCGAATGAAAGATCTAAATAAAACAAAAAGGTTGTGTAAAAGGCAACTCCTCCTACTGCCTGATTGAACCGGGATTATGGTCTTTTCCTGCCTTCGGACTCAAACTGAAAACTTCTCTCTTCATGGGTCTTGAGCCTGTTGGCTTTTGGACTGGGACTTACACCATTGGCTTTCCTGGTTCTCAGGCATTTGGACTCTGACTGGAATTTATACTGTCAGCTTTTCTGGGTCTCCAGCTTGCCGACTGCAGGTCTTGGGACATAGCTGTATCTATCTGTATCTATATCTGTGTCTTAATCTGTATCTATATCTATCTATATCATCTATCTTTTTTTTTTTTTTTTTTTGCAGTACACGGGCCTCTCACTGTTGCGGCCTCTCCCGTTGCGGAGCACAGGCTCCGGATGCGCAGGCTAAGCGGCCATGGCTCACGCGCCCAGCCGCTCCACGGCATGTGGGATCCTCCCGGATCGGGCACGAACCCTTGTCCCCTGCATCGGCAGGTGGACTCTCAACCACTGCGCCACCAGGGAAGCCCTATATCATCTATCTTTATCTATATCCTACTAGTTCTGTTTCTCTGGAGAACACTGACTAATACAGTTGGAGTCTGGGAATTGATTCCCCAGGTGATTTTGATTCTGACACCGGTTGACAAACCCTAGCCTACAGGATACAGTCCTTTACAACCCAATAGTCTGCTCCCACTTTTGTTAAACATCTCACCACTACCCTCAAGAAGACAATGGCTTTGCGCAGAACCTCTGTATTCTCTATTTATCTACCAGCTTTCATAGTTTGAGCTTTAATTTCTGTAATTTGTATGATGAAAACAATAATTGTATTCTCAATATAAAAATATATAAAATGAAATTGTAAATTAATAATTTACATAATGTGCTTTTAAATATGCATGTGCATAAAAATTATAAATTAAGTAGTAACAGTAGGAAAAAGTATCTCTTTCAGATAAACATCCCCATCACCACCCCTTCCATGCCCCTGGAGAATCTGATATTCTGTTCCACTGAGCTAAAAACCACTACTTTAGCCAGTAGGGCTCCCTGAAGATCCCCCAATCATGCTAGTCTCTCTTCCTGGAAGGGTTTTTGTTCCTTTGCCATATATTTGTTGAAGATTTAGCATGTGCCAGGCACTGTGCTATGCAACGTAGCCCTCCCTCCCAGAGAGAAGCAATTGATTCTTTCTCTGAGGACCATAGCCCCTGAGTCTGTACTTGTATCCTAGCCTCGTCCTGCCATGATGTGTTAGTTGTCGCCTTCCCTAGACTGTGCAGCTTCTCAGGTCAGGGATTGTTATCTTGCTCATCTTTGTATCTCAGTCACTGGCACAGTGCCCGATATCTAGTAAGAACTCAATGAATGTTGATGAATGAGTTCATAAATGAATCATGATAGCCCAGTGTCTGGCACATCAGAGATGATCAATAAATATTGGTTGAAATGCTATAGAACTGAAAGTACGGGTTACAGAAACAAGGTCAGGAAGAATTTCAAGAAGGAAGGTTTCTTGAACGCAGTCAAAAAGATCCCAAAAGATCAAGAAGGGTGAACACTGAGGGGAAAAAGGAAACATTGGATTTGACAAAAAGGAAGTTAATGTTAAATCCTAGAAAAAAAATAGCAATTGACAAAATGTTTATCACAAAACCAACAAGTGAAGATCAGTGTTTACTTACCTTCCAAGTGTTAGTGGTACCTCTTTACATCCTGTGGCTGGGTGAGCTCCCGTGAACCCTGCAGTTTATTATGCCACAGTCTTCACTAAGTAGCTAGTTAAAATGCCCATACATTAACCATCAAAGCTTAAAAATCTTTCACTTACATTTGAATTTTAAGCTTAACCGTACATTAACCAAGATAACCATACAGTTATCTTTCCTAAGAAAAAATGGGACCACTAGCTGAGGGGTTATTACCACAGATATTTTCTCTCTCCATTCATTCTTTGAGCACGTATTTATTATGCTACAAACTGTGCTGAGTAGGGTCCATTCTTCAGCTAATGGGGCAGATTCTATTAGTAGAGCTCATGTGTACTTGTGGCTCCATTTTTCAAATCCTAAATCCTAGACTTGCCGGGATTCCCAGGGCAGTTTAACTCCTGGGAAATTCCTCTCGGGAAACACTTAAAACTCTTCTTACCATTTGCTGTACCAAAAACAGCACTAGCTCCGGCAGCTAGGATGTCTCCCTTGAGTGGAAACATTGCCCAGAGTACATCCTAGGGAACCCTGGTTTACATTCTGGGTCATATTAAAATGAAGGCTTCTTTACTGCAGGATTTGAGAGAGTCCTTTTTGTTTTCTTTTTTTCTTTCTTTGCCAGTCTTTTATATGCAAAGATGCATGGGGGCAGGGTTGGAGGCTTGGATAATACAGTATAAAGTGTTTTCTAAACTCATTTTTTTCTTCTTGGGACCATTTTATGGGATACTGGGAAATACTGATATAGATTATGTATGTTCATTCACTCAGCAAAAATTGTTTGTGTCAGTTATGTGCCTGACGGTGTGCTGAGAACTGTGGATAATATGGTAAGTAACCAGACACACAGGACTGTCCTTATGAAGAACCGGGGGGAGAAAAAGACATAAATCAAATGCACTAAATTGTAAGTCGAATAATTACAACAGTAAAATTGCAGTTGTGACCATGCAATGAAGGAGAGGCACACTACATGGCAAGTGAGAGCCTATAATAGGGGACTTCAGTCTGGTCAGGGAAGGCTGCTCTGAGGAGGTAACCTGGAAATGATCCCTGAAGTATGAATAGGAGTTCACCCGGTGATGAGGGTGGAGAAGAGCATATGCCCTGGGATGGGAGGGAGTTCCGTGAGTGTGTGGGACAGAAAGAAGGCCAATGGGGGATGGGGAGCAAGATGAGGCTAGAATGGTATAAAGGGCCAAACCATATAGGACATTATAGGCCATGTTAGGAATTCCGGTCTTTATTTGAGGAGCAATGGAAACCATCGATTTGTGTTTTGGAAAGATCATTCAAGCTGCTGAGTGGACAACTGATTGGAGGCGGGCCAGGGTGGATCTAGGTGGACTGTTTAAAAGGCTATTGAAGTGGTCTAGGATGATGCCTATTTGGTGATGGCGGTGGAAGAGATGATGACAAGAATTCATCCTCATTGGTCTAGATCAAGTCCCTCTTCTACAAAGCAGCTGAACCCACACAGAGCTGGGTTTGTAATAATACACAGGTACCATCCACTTCACCAGAAAACTTCTCTCTGCACCTGAGGGATTGGGGGTGTAGAAAGGGGTGGTCTGCTCTTACCTCAATTCATTCAAGCAAATCATTGTATAGAAGCTTTTGTCCTCAGATTAGAGATGCTCTCTGGAGCATCTGTCATTAGGATCCAAAGAGAGCCCTTGCCTGTAACCATGTTCTTTGGGGTCTGCTTTTACCCTATGGGACTATAGGTTTGTTTCCAGGCATCTGGGAATTTCAAAGCTGGGAGGTGTCACAGAGATCATCTTCACCCTCAACCGTAGGCAAGAATTTCTTCTAAAAAAAAAAAAAAGAATTTCTTCTACATATTTGAAAACACCTCAAACAGGTGTCCATTCATTCTATCCCCAATTACACTAGCTATAAGCTGTCTCATCCTGTCCCCAAGCCTCTGGGGTCTTTAGAGCTTAAACACTATCTCATAACTCACCCATAATAATTGCTCTCATTCTCATATTTTACATACTCTCTCATTTCCTCACAATAGCTTCAATTTACAGAGTTTAAGTGACATGCTCACAGTAAGGAAATTTAGGGTCACACCCTTATGAAACTTTGCTTGGAACATACGATTCTACCCTGTGCATTCTATGTCGTCTGGAATTTTACAATGAACACGTATAATTCCCCTGACTACTCCAGCCCACACTGAGTTCTCTTATCACTAAACTTTTATACTTAACTTTAAATTTTTTGTATTTTAATAATTCAGTGACTAATTTTAAGTGTACCTGATTTTTTTTTTTTTTTTTTTTTTTTGCGGTACGCGGGCCTCTCACTGTTGTGGCCTCTCCCGTTGCGGAGCACAGGCTCTGGACGCGCAGGCTCAGCGGTCGTGGCTCACGGGCCTAGCCGCTCCGCGGCATGTGGGATCCTCCCGGACCGGGGCACAAACCCGTGTCCCCTGCATCGGCAGGCGGACTCTCAACCACTGCGCCACCAGGGAAGCCCTAAGTGTACCTGATTTTTATCCTCATCCAAGGAAATTCTGGGTAGGGATCATGTCATACAATTTCTCCCTGTATTTTCACTACGCTGGGCACATAGAACATGCTTTTAAAAAGATTAATTGATTGATTAGTTAAAGGAGCTCATAATTTTTAAAATGTCATGGAAATACTGTCTATGGTCATGGACAAACACATGCAAACATTTGCAGAAATCCATTTCTTCTACTAGGTTATTTACAGTTGTGTTGAGGGGCTGGGTTTCCCCGAAGCTGGTTTCTTCTTGCTAATAGTGGGCTCACAGAGATAGCTTGTGAGATCTCAGAACTTAATTGCATTTGTGTGAGAAATTTTAGGTACTAAACACACCAGAAAATATAGAATCTACAACTTTTTGTCATATTCTATTAACTTTATAACCTCACCAGTGTTTATAAGTGGATGGAATTCGCCATGAAAGATACAGGAAGACTACATACAACACACCATCCAGAATTCCTTAAATTGGAATCTCCACCCGACATGGGAGCAGCAAGAGGATTTTGCCTAATACCCAATAAGGAGCAGCAAATAAAGCTTTGATTGCCTCTGACTTTAGAAGTTTTGTCCAATAATTGAGAGTCTGTGAGTTCCCATCTCCTTTGCAAGTCAGCTAATTTTTGCCTCTAAATTGACTACAATCAAATGAAATACTCTCTTCCAGTTGCTATAAACTGCTGAGGTTAAAACACCATTCTTAAAGTAGGCAGATACTAACACAGTTACTATATATTTTCCCACTATGTTAGTGAGCTAAGGAATTGTCTATGTCATTTGTTGTAAAATTTTTTGTTACAATTTTCCCTGTCAAAGTATTGTATCTGTTCACAACATAGAAGGGGAGAATGGATATTGGGGAGGCAATCAGCCTTCTAGTGTCACCCCTAATATGTAGGGATGACTTCAAATCAAATGCTTTCACAGACTGGGAAAAACAAACCTACACATTTTATTCTTCTTAAATATTTGTAAAATATATGGGATCTCTAAGCCTCAGTTTCCTTACCCGATAATAAAAAGGGAGGGATTATAAGCCTGCCTATCTCCTTGGGTTGTTGTGAGGGTGAAGCAAGCCAATGCAAGGAAAGTTTTTGCAGAATGCCTGGTATGTAGTATGCGCTCAGTAAAGTCTGGCTTCTATTTTTATTATCTATTCGTGAATTATGTAATCCGATGTACTTGTTCAGATTTCAACCTGTGGGAAGGAGAGGCTGCTGCTGGAGAACCATGCATGTCATTTTCAAGAACCTGGTTCATATGGGGTACAGTGGAAAGCGTCCCGCAGTGGGACTTAGTTAGTGGACTTAAGTTCTGTCCCCCACCTTGCAGACTTATGTGCCAGATTCAGAAAGTCACAGAACATAGAATTACAGGACTTTGTGGAAGGTAGATTTTGTCGAGAGAAGCCAGGACTCCAGAATTGGGCTACTACTGCTCCTTTCCCTTGGACTTTCTTTAAAACAAAACAAACAAAAAGTACCACCACCAGCAACAACTGTATTTAGCCTCTTGAACCAGTTTCCCAATCTGCAATTAAGATAATCATATTTTCCCTAACTCATATGATTGCTATGAAGATCAAATTGGATAATGTAAGTGAAATCATGAAATGACAGTTTTAATTGAACCTTGCTAAGTACCTTGAGCTTTCCATGCATTGTGTCATGTAATTCACCCAGTAGGTAGTTGTGGAAGAGACCGTTGGTGACCCCAATGCCTGTTCTCCTCCTTTTCCTTAGAAATAAGACCTCTGATTTTTAGCTGGGCTAAAGTAGATACAGAATATACTTCCCAGCTTTCCTTGCTAAGTGTGGCCAGAGGTCTACCTTCTGGCGAGTGAGATAGAAGTTTAGTGTGTTACTTCCAGGTAGTGTCTTAAGAGGAGGAGGACATGCTGTTGTTCCTCCCATCATCTGCCCTGTTGGGTGACTGGAATGGTTATTTGATGACTGGAATTTGAAAAGCCATATTAGATTGTGTGGTAGCGTAAGAATTGCAGGGCATCAAAATAGAAGGAAATGATCCATTCCTTGAAAGTTTTCTGATAATATGGAAGAGTCATAGTAACATTATGAATGAAAAATGCAAGTCTCAGGAAGACTACAAATACAAATTAGTATAAAGTTACAAAATAAGCAAAACTAAAATAACATATTTTTAAGGTGATGTGTGTGCATGTGTATGAGCGCACATGCATACACACATACATATATATTAAGGAATTTTAAAGAATTCATATATATATTTTTTTTCCCCAAACCTCATGACAGGGATTTTAAAATTACTTTAAAAAATTTTAAATTCCATTAAAAAATTTTTAAGTTCTTAAAACAAAACAAGGGATTTCTAAATACCAGATTCAGGATAGTAGCCATCTATGAGGGTAGGCAGTGGGTAAGGGAGGAACATTTATGTAGATGTAAATGATTGATAACTGTCTTTTTCTTGCATTGAATGATAGGTTCATGGGTATTCACTATGTTCTCGATAAGTAAATGAAAATTTAAAGGCCCATGGACGGACCATTGATGATTATGTGTCATGAACTAAGGATTATGATTAATCCAATTCTGTGTACTCAAGTTCAGAGAGAAAAGATACTAGCAATAGCAATACATGCTTACTGTGTACTGGGCACTGTTCTTTTTTTTTTTTTAGAGTAATAATTTTTAAAAAATATTTATTTATTTATTTGGTTGCACTGAGTCTTACTTGTGGCAGGCAGGCTCCTTAGTTGCTGCACGCGTGTGGGATCTAGTTCCCTGACTAGGGATCAAACCTGGGCCCCTGCATTGGGAGCGCGGAGTCTTATACACTGCACCACCACTAGACATCTTCTAAGCTCTTAATACAGTCAGGTGACCCACGGTTGGTTGAATCCAAGGATGCAGAACCTGTGGATACTGAGCGTCAACTGTGTGTTTTAACCCATTTAATCTTCCCAGTAAAGAGGTTCTATGATTATTCCCATTTTACAGATGAGAAAACAAAGGCCCAGAGAGATTAACAGTAACTCTTGAGACCCACAGCAGAGTTGGGATTTAATCCAGCCGGGCTGTTTCCAGAGTTCATGCTCTTAGACACTGCCCTATGTCTAAATAAATGAAAGAGATAATTGTATTAGGGCTTAGTCATGTAGGAGAAATTATAACAGAGGCTTTCTGTAACAATGTTAAAGGATGAACCACATGCACAGCTTTTTAAGTATACACCACTGAACTGTATGCTTTAAATGGGTGAATTTTATGGTATGTAAATTATATCTTAATAAAGCTGTTTTTAAAAATTCTACAAACCACAAATAAGTGACTTTATAATGCAAACTGTGTCCCAAATGATCGTTCGCTATTTTAGGGATTTCATATATGTCTATGGGTAAAATACACACTTTTTCTGTAGAGCAAACAAAACAAACCTTACTGTTAGGAGACCACTCACTTTATGAAAGAAAATGAAGCAGAAAATTTTAATCCACTACTGTGAGTGGGAAAAATTTTTTTTTAAATTCCCAGCTTCAGGCCTTTTTGTATCTGTCAGGGAAATCAAAGGGCTCTTGGCTCCCAAGATAAATTTCATATTGCAGTCATAACTGTCTCTGTATGTACTGAGGATACACAAACAGTAAAACCTAGGAAGGAAGAGGGTGGAAAGAACACATTTGATTGAAAACATACTGATACCTTTTAATTGCACAGCTTTCTTCCATGCACATAACTTTTATTTTGCTTTCCTTTTTAATCTAAAACTGATTTTAAAGGAGACGGAGAAAGCACTGCATTTAGACAGCTAGTTGTGGCCAATCTCCTGCTGGGTGCGGCCTCTAGGGCCTTTGAGTTGTACAGCTCCAAGGGGCCAACACTGACACCACAATGGGCAATGGCAGCTTTTCCTCAACACTATTTCTTCGTTTTCGACAAGGCACTAAAAGGAGAGATCAACATGCTGCTACGATAGCTTGGTAGCTTAACTCTGTTTTCATGACCACTGAAAGATCCTCCTCACAGTCAGTTATCCTCACAAATCTGGCCATAGATCACAAGGAGACCAGATGAAAGCCTGGACTGGACCTCAACAACTCGCTCACCAACACAAGAAAAAGTGTTTAAAGTCTTGGCCCTCTAAACCATGGGTCACTTTTATCCTCTCTCAGCTCTCTCTAAAGTGCATGTGTGAACATAGGCTGATACAACCTCACTAAGCCACTTCATACTTTAAAAAACACAGAGAAAATGAAAACAAAATAAATCACTTATTTTAAGTACATCTTGGATCAACATATCATGTCATTATTCAGTTCTGTCCTACCTACACACACACACACACACACACACACACACACACACACACACCCCACAGGCTATATTTTGGCTCTGTTATTGATAATGGAATCCAGTCCTTTTCTGTCTACCCATTAAACTTACCAGTCCTCTTGATACCAGACAGGCTGTCAGCTCCCCACCCCTTAGATAAACCTTCCTACTGCAGCCACATGTGGGCAGTATCTTCCATCAAGTTCCCTAGTATTTCAAATGGCAAGCCACTAAGCCTAGCAGAGCCTCAGGCACTGCCACACATACTGGTATTGCTCTCTGACTTCTCTCCCTCAATTCTTGTGCTCCCTCAGTCCCTATGATGAAATTTGGGAAACTATACTTATTTGGTCCTTTTTTTTTTTTTTTTTTTTGATCAGTGAGTCATCTAAGCAGGTCAATTTAGGCCAAAAATAGTCACCTTGGATGGAACCTGATTTATTTGGATTGGCTATAACACTGATTAAAGTAATCAGATAATGGCTTAACTTCAACTTTGTGTTGTGTTACTATAACCTTGAAAGAGATGAAAACTGAAACCCCCTAACTATGCAAAGTTTTTTCTTTTGAATAATGTGCTTTTTTTAATTCCCTAGCATCCAGATTTCTATCTCTAAGTATCATTTCCCACTAAAAGGAACCAGAACTCCTAGGAGAAATGGCTGATTCCATGTCAGGGGCAGATAAGCCTGGAACAAAATAATGAAGAGGGGGAAGAGCAAGAGGACAGTGTAGATGAAACAAGATTGACATGATTTGAAAACTGTTGAAATTGGGTGTTGGGCACAAGAGAATTCTTTATAGCATTCTACTTTTGTATATTTTTTAGTTTTTCCATAAAAAGTTTTTAAGGAAAGCTAAAAATAATTGCTATTTTGAAAACAATGAAACAGCAATAGCATGCACATGGTAAACAAAAGTTTTCTTTTAATAATGCATAAAGGTATAGAATGAAAACTTGTCTTTTTCCACCTAGCCCCTCCTTAGCATGATCTCAGTAACAACTTCCTAAGTATTCTCAATTAAGTTTCTATGAATATATATTAAAAAATGTACAAACACATATACAGGTATATCATTTTTTAAAACCACAAATGGTAGCATATTATACACATCGTACTATGTCTCATGAAGTTATTTCACTACCTGGTTTTAATACAGTGACTATGTCTACACAATACAATATCATAGATATGCTTTTACATACTGGGCTTCTTTCAAGTTTTTTGATGTAATCAAGAGACAAAAGGCTCATATCTTCACCTTCCTCAAGATTACTTAATAAAAAGAAGGATGGCTAAGGCTGGGGTAAACAGGTTGCAGTCCCTAATCTTAAAAGTTTCAAGTTTAGGTTTGCCTTTAAAAAACATCTCACATTCTCTCCTTACAGACAGGATCTTGAGAGGTGTGGTTAAGAGGATCAATACAAGAATCCTCTTAACCTCTGCCGGGAGGATATCGGGGAGGACTGCAGAAACCTAACCCCTGTGATGAACTCAGCACTACCTCCCTTCACCAGACGGTGGGCAGCCGGACAGAGGCTGTACCTGTTATCATCTTGGTCTCCGGCACCTCGCGCAAGTGCTTTATCGTCTGACACGATGGAGGTCTGTGGAAAGAAAGTTGGGTTTTAAAGCGGTTAACGATTGAAAGAACTAAAAGAGATGGGTTTACAGACAGAAAGGTGGCTGTTCTACTGGGTTGTAGTATAGACTAACCCGGGGTGGGGTGACGTACAAGAAGCCACAGAAAAAAACGCGACACATCTGCATGGAGCGTAAATTGCACTCGATTATTCAACAGGGAGGGATACTACATATGAAAAACAAACGCAGCTCTATTACGGAACTACAAAACCCCAAATCCACGTAAATTTGCAACACAAAACAGGAAGCCCTGACCCCTCCGCCGTGGCCTGACAGTCCCCACCCCGCCCGCGGGCGGCGAAACTGGAAGCGTCAGTGACTCTCCTGGGTTGCCCGGGGGCACTCAGGCGAAAACGGAACACGCAGAGGAAGGCCGGCTCCCGAGCCAGGGCTGCGCCCCACCTCCGCTGCGTCCTCGCTGCGGGTCCCCAAGAGCCCACGTCCTGCCTCCGCCCCGCCCCTGACGTTAGTGTGAGCCGGCGCTTTGTGAACTGTGAACTCCCGGCCCCGCCCACCTGCCCCGTGGGCCCCAGAGCGCTTTCTGGCGCATGGGGGGGCGGGGCTTTTTCAGGCTGTTCCCGCAGAGGCCAGAGGGGCTAAGATGGTGTCCGGTGGGCGCCCCGCGACGGCTTCCTGAAGGGTTCGTGGGTCCCGACAGCCGGAGAGCCTGCCCAGACCCTTGTCCCACACAGGTAGGAAGTAGGAAGCCCAGAAGTTCTGAGGTCCGAGGACCAAAGCACAACCAAGTACGCAGCGGGACCGAACAAATGTTGGAGAGGAGAACGCAGAAAGCGTGGGGAGGCGGAACTGGTTTATGGTCACCGTCTCGCGACATCTAACTGACGTCGCAGAGCAAGCGCGTATTCTACTCTTTCACCTTCAGGCAGCCTCCTCAGTGTAGGGGCCTACCCCTTTAAGCGAGTGATGGACAGTTATTTCGGCCTATCAATTTCCTCGTCAACGTCCAATCAGATTTAAACTTCTTTCAGCCGCCGGAGGAGTTGGAAGAAGGGGGTAGAAGGAGGGAACCCTCCCCCTCTCTTTTTCTCTCTCTCTCTCTGTCTCGCACTCTGTCTCTCTCGCGAGATCGCAGTGACCCGGCCTCTCAGAAAAAAATGCTAGAACATATGGCCCGACTTCCCAAATAGTAGGCTAAAGGACGGGGTCGTAAACCAATGAAAGGGATGAGGAGGTGGGATCACCGCTTTCACCGCGCAAGAAGTACCGTTACAGGGCAGACTTTTTGTCCAATCAACGCCTCCAGACTTCGGGTCAGGTGACCATAGAGTGCGGGGGGCGGAGCTACAGTCTGGCGCGAGGAACCGTTAAGATGGACAACGACTATAACCAATGAGGTACTCTGACTAGGGCGTTGGGAACCCAATAACAGTGGTCGGGCGGGCGCCTTCCCGGAGCGCGGGGAGATGTAAAGACAGACAAATAGTTTTCCCAATGAGACTGTAGAAGAGAGGAGCTAATTGACCAATGAAGACTGCGGGGCGGGAACCTCTGCCGCGGCGGAGTCCAAGATGGCGGCGTGCGGTTCCGCTGTGTGAAACGAGCGCGGGGCGGCGGGTTAGTCAGTTTCGCGGAGAAGACCTCCGACGACCCGCTACAATGAAGGGAAAAGAGCGCTCCCCAGTCAAGCCGAAACGCTCCCGTGGTGGTGAGGACTCGACTCCCCGCGGGGAGCGGAGCAAGAAGTTAGGGGGCTCTGGTGGCAGCAATGGGAGCAGCAGTGGAAAGACCGACGGCGGCGGCGGGTCGCGGCGCAGCCTTCATCTGGACAAGTCTAGCAGCCGAGGTGGTAGCCGCGAGTACGACACCGGTGGGGGCAGCTCCAGTAGCCGCTTGCATAGTTACAGCTCCCCAAGCACCAAAAATTCCTCGGGCGGGGGCGAGTCGCGCAGCAGCTCCCGGGGTGGAGGCGGGGAGTCACGTTCCTCTGGGGCCGCCTCTTCAGCTCCTGGCGGCGGGGACGGCGGGGAATACAAGACATTGAAGATAAGCGAGTTGGGGTCTCAGCTGAGTGACGAAGCGGTGGAGGACGGACTGTTTCACGAGTTCAAACGCTTCGGTGATGTAAGTGTCAAAATCAGTCATCTCTCGGGTTCTGGCAGCGGGGATGAGCGAGTAGCCTTTGTGAACTTCCGGCGGCCAGAGGACGCGCGGGCGGCCAAGCATGCCAGAGGCCGTCTAGTGCTCTATGACCGGCCCCTGAAGATAGAAGCTGTGTATGTGAGCCGGCGCCGCAGCCGCTCCCCTTTAGACAAAGATTCTTATCCTCCATCAGCCAGTGTTGTCGGGTCCTCTGTAGGTGGTCACCGGCACCCCCCTGGAGGAGGTGGTGGAGGCCAGAGATCACTTTCCCCTGGTGGCGCAGCCTTGGGATACAGAGACTACCGGTTGCAGCAGTTGGCTCTTGGCCGCCTGCCCCCTCCACCTCCGCCACCATTGCCCCGAGACCTGGAGAGGGAGCGAGACTACTCGTTCTATGAGAGAGTACGCCCAGCCTACAGTCTGGAGCCAAGGGTGGGAGCTGGAGCAGGTGCTGCTCCTTTCAGAGAAGTGGATGAGATCTCACCCGAGGATGATCAGCGCGCTAACCGGACGCTTTTCTTGGGCAACCTAGACATCACTGTGACAGAGAGTGATCTAAGAAGGGCTTTTGACCGTTTCGGAGTCATCACAGAAGTAGATATCAAGAGGCCTTCTCGGGGCCAGACCAGTACCTATGGCTTTCTCAAATTTGAGAACCTAGATATGTCTCACCGGGCCAAACTAGCAATGTCTGGCAAAATTATAATTCGGAATCCTATAAAAATTGGTTATGGCAAAGCTACACCCACCACCCGCCTCTGGGTAGGTGGCCTGGGTCCTTGGGTGCCTCTTGCTGCCCTGGCACGGGAGTTTGACCGATTTGGCACCATACGCACCATTGACTACCGCAAGGGTGATAGTTGGGCGTATATCCAGTACGAAAGCCTGGATGCAGCTCATGCTGCCTGGACCCATATGCGGGGCTTCCCGCTTGGTGGCCCAGATCGTCGCCTTAGAGTAGACTTTGCAGACACAGAACATCGTTACCAGCAGCAGTATCTGCAGCCTCTGCCCTTAACTCATTATGAACTGGTGACAGATGCTTTTGGACACCGGGCACCTGACCCTTTGAGGGGTGCTCGGGACAGGACACCACCGTTACTATACAGAGATCGTGATAGGGACCTTTATCCTGACTCCGATTGGGTGCCACCCCCGCCCCCAGTTCGTGAACGCAGCACTCGGACTGCAGCTACTGCTGTGCCTGCTTATGAGCCACTGGATAGCTTGGATCGCAGGCGGGATGGCTGGTCCTTGGACCGGGACAGAGGTGATCGAGATCTGCCCAGCAGCAGAGACCAACCTAGGAAGCGAAGGCTGCCTGAGGAGAGCGGGGGACGGCATCTGGATAGGTCCCCGGAGAGTGACCGTCCACGAAAACGTCATTGTGCACCTTCTCCTGACCGCAGTCCAGAATTGAGCAGTAGCCGGGATCGCTACAACAGTGACAATGATCGATCTTCCCGTCTTCTCTTGGAAAGGCCCTCTCCAGTCAGAGACCGACGAGGTAGTTTGGAGAAGAGCCAGGGTGACAAGCGAGACCGTAAAAACTCTGCATCAGCTGAACGGGATAGGAAGCACCGGACAGCTGCTTCCACTGAGGGAAAAAGCCCTCTGAAAAAAGAAGACCGGTCTGATGGGAGTGCACCCAGCACCAGCACGGCTTCATCGAAGCTGAAGTCCCCTTCCCAGAAACAGGATGGTGGGACAGCCCCTGCAGCAGCAGCCTCTCCCAAACTCTGTTTGGCCTGGCAGGGCATGCTTCTTTTGAAGAACAGCAACTTTCCTTCCAACATGCATCTGTTGCAGGGTGATCTCCAGGTGGCTAGTAGTCTTCTTGTGGAGGGCTCAACTGGAGGCAAAGTGGCCCAGCTCAAAATCACTCAGCGTCTTCGTTTGGACCAGCCCAAGTTGGATGAAGTAACTCGACGCATCAAAGTGGCAGGGCCCAATGGTTATGCTATTCTTCTGGCTGTGCCTGGAAGTTCTGATAGCAGGTCCTCCTCTTCCTCGGCCACCTCAGACACTGCCACCTCTACTCAGAGGCCACTTAGGAACCTCGTGTCCTATTTAAAGCAAAAGCAGGCCGCCGGGGTGATCAGCCTCCCTGTGGGGGGCAACAAAGACAAGGAAAACACCGGAGTCCTTCATGCCTTCCCACCCTGTGAGTTCTCCCAGCAGTTCCTGGATTCCCCTGCCAAGGCACTGGCCAAATCTGAAGAAGATTACCTGGTCATGATCATTGTCCGTGGTGCGTCTTAAAGTCCATATGTAACTTGTATTTAGTACTTTGACATGGTTCCTGTTCTGTGATGTGTGATGGGATACAGCATTGGATGAAATTTTCTTTTTAATTAGTTGTTTAGTTGTAGCTTTCTTCTTTTTTATATTTTTATAAACCTCTTTAAAATAGAAGTCAGGAGAGTTTAGCTATTATTTTAAGTGAAAGGGATGCCCTAAAGGTAGCAGGCAAATGGATTTACTTTAATTAGGAGTTCCCACTCTTATGAGTAACTTTTTTCCTCTTTTTCTGCAGTTTTTTCTTTTTTAACCTTAAGCTTAAAAAAATCCTCCAAGTTACAAAACCAGAAATTTGAAGTCAATTTGGAAAACAAAGAGCCCACTGACTATATAAAGATGATAATATACACCTGAAAATGGCTTGATTGGTATGTAGGTAAATAATTCCTGTACCAGAAATGTTTGTGTGGCTGAAATTTGATCAGGAATCTCATTAGTATAAGCTGGTAAATCATATAGCATTGTGATTATTTTATTCAGGTATTTGAGTATTTCTCTTAAAATACGTGGTTTATTCCCAGAGAGTTTGCTTTAACATACACGTTTTTATCATTGGCTCTTGAGTTCTGTATCCTGTATATGCACTTTTGGTTTGTAGCAGTAACTGTTCAGTAAAAATTGAGGAGTATGTTACAAACCACATATGTCTTATGCTTACAGTAGTATGCAGGAAGTGAGTAGGTGCTTTTAAAATCAGAATTCTTTGGTCAGTTGTTGGTGTGTGGTGGTGGTTTCACTGACTTTTTCAGAGAGATGTCGCAGGTACAGTTCTAATTTAATTGTGCATATTTCAAAACTTGTGTTTTTCATCAGAGATGAGTTTTTATTTTTGTATCCATTCAAATTTCTGATTTCAATAATAGAAAGAAGAGTTTTCTGCAGGCTCATAAGTCATCTTTTGTTTCAGTGGGCATTAATCAGCCATATGTCATCGTGAAATGCCTTTGACATACTCTCCAAATTTTGCTTGTATTTTTATTTTCATATT